TAACCAGCAGTTTGAAGATGGTGACAATCAGGGAAGCTTTGGTGCCCTGGAGGCGCTCCATGCATGTTTTCAATGCATCATAAATTCCTATCAAAACTCAAGGTCAATGGGAAGGAACATGTTGACCTTAGGAGTACCAACTATCAGAAGTGGTCATCGTGGCCGTCCTCCATACAATATACTACATCATCAAATTGCCTACTGTTTGTCCTTTGGCATGAATTGGGAACGAATAGCTGTAGGCTTTGGAATCAGCAGGAGAAAACTGTAACGTCACAGACAGCAGTTACAAATTGGTCCCCTCAGCTATACAGCAATGTCTGATGAGGCCCTGTGTAACGTCATCAGAGAGATCCTTCAAACCACTCCAGGTTCAGGGGAAAGGTATGTCCGCAGAAAGTCATGAGGAGGATTGGAAATGTCAAAATCCATGTTGGTTTACATCTTAAGGTGAAAGCTGTCTGAAAATATATGGTTTAGGTGGTTGAATCTGTTTCCCTAAATGGCACAGCCCAAAAAAGTAGCAGCCTATACTCTATTTACCAATACCTTTTTATATGCATAGGCAGCATTCTAATAAGGAGGGTATAAGCTTTCAGATGATACATGGTTTATATGGTTGAATCAGTGTTGCCTTTATGGTGCAGACCAAAATGTATTGGGTGTACACTTTTGCCACCAAATCCATAAAATCCCATTGATTTAAATTGGAGGTTTGCATGGAATGCAATTGAGCAAGTTTAGTTTGATGTACTAGTCCTATAGAAGACATTTCTGTAATAAAAGCTTAGGTAGGCTACTAGACATGTCTGGGTTCACTATTGGGGGCTTCTAATATACTATACTCTTTGACTATATGTTATATTGCTTGAATAAGAAAAATCCCAAGCAGCTTACTACCATCACTCTGAAAAATTTTCTTAATTTACCCTACACTGGTAGACAAATAGAAAAAATATAACGGCATACACACAGTTTTATTACATTTCATTGTTTTAATGTTACAAACAAACAGGCTAATTGTGTGCCTGGGCTCAGGCAGAGTATTGAGAAAGGATATTTGGCTCAGGCAACAGATGCATGCATTTGCCCTCTGATGACGACAAGAAGAATCACATGTTATTCTTCATTATATTTGCTAAACAACAGAGTTGCAAACCTTTCAAATGCTCCACTGACGCGATGGACCACCTGAAACATGATGATATCCTCCACCAAGAGGTCTTTGTCCTCTAGGCGTTTCAAGGACCTTAGACACCCAGCATTTGCCAGATAATCTGTAAGTGGTTCTGTTGCCTGTTGCAGTTCATCAAAAGATGTACATTCTGACACCTAAGGGCAACAAACAAAAATATGTATTGAAATATCAGAGTGGGGATGTCCTGGTATATTGTCCAACTCCTCCAATCAGAAACAAATGAATCATTCCATAGAATTCAATTCTTGTATTACTGGCGATTGAGTATTCGGTATGTTTACAATGTGTATACCTTTTTGACCTTGGCATAAAGGTCAGAATCGGCAATCTCCTCCATCTCAGGCTTGGCCGATCTTCCGGTCAAGGAGGCATACAATGAAGAGGAAAAGAACCCAGGAGCAGGCCCGCCATGAACTAGGCTCACCGCAATGGCCTGGCCCGCGGAAAAATACTTATCCTCCCATAAAGCTGAAGGAAACATGACATGAAATACAAAATTAAAATTAAGTACAAGGCACAATCCTTGAAAGAAAGGGAAAGGGACTCATAGAAAGGGACACTGTACAAAATTAAAGCATACCTGAACTTTCCAAAGCCAAGTTGGCTTTTCCTTCCCTTCCCTCGAACATCTGTGAGCATGCCAGGGCCTCCATCAGCAGACGCAAGAACTTTCTCCTAGGGCCACCAAGGTCAACAGCCTCCTCATCCAYCCCCAAGTCATCGGAGAATTTGATACTCATCTGGAAGGTCGGATTGTAGGACAGTCTCTTGAAACCTCTTATAGCACCATCAAGCACAGCGGAACGGTTTATGTTAAACCTGCATTTTTGATGACTATTCATTTTGGAGGCAAGGCCGAGGAGCACCTCCTGCGCAGATGTGTCACGTTCAGTCATCCTGTTTAAAATTAGAATTCAGAGAATATACRTTAATGAGATTACTATGTGATCGATGTATTTTACATTTACATACTTTCAGCTGTTTGCATAAAACAAACCACAGAAACTTAAATAGCTCAAACTTTGCTCATTCAAACARTGTCATATTAACCAATCACTTACGGATGACTCTCAAGACTAGCCAATATAGCCTTGTTAACTTCCTCATCAGAGGACAGGTCTGGCATGGCTCCCGTGATTGAGAGGTAGGTGTCATAGTTGTGTCTGACGAGTGCTGACTGGCTCACTGAGTTTTCACTTTCTAAGTCAATAGGCACTTGTGGTGGGGGCTGGGCACTGGGCACTTGTGGTGGGGGCTGGTTGGCTCTAGCCCTTGTTGAGACACAAACAGGCCTGTGGCTTCTGCTGTTCCTTCCTCTTGTAGCCATACTGAGGTCATTGGATGCGGACCTATTGTCATGTTCACCCAGCTCCATATCACTGTCCTCGGAGTCTGTGTTGTCCAACTAAAACACAACAAAAATAATTCGAAAAGATTGCCGTTAAGCCCACTGCGAAAGTATGACAACCTCATGCCTACATTCAAATTACGAAGAGAGCRTGTGTGCAATAATTTATCATACAATAATTTATCTGAGGTGGTATGGCTCTGTTCTAGGACCTCCCTGTGCTTCTGTGTGGTTGTGTGAGTTAGTTCAGTGTTTAACATAGGATTATTTGAAATAAGGGGGAAAGGGAATTTAAGATGTGACGGTCATGGCAAAATTTAAGGGTCGACAGTGCAAACAAAGAAAGTTTTCTGTCACACTTTTAAGATTTTTGGGTGCATGTGCGACGAAAGAGGCTAACCCTAGAGCACTGCGAGGTTACATTAACTGCAACTCTTTCCAATCCTAACACCCTGTGAACTATCGTATTTAAAAAAAATGAATAAACAAACAACAAAATAAAAGCATTAATACCCTTCTTCACAGTCATGTTGAAGTTCTATCTGACACTGTTCAGCGTTGTTTTTAGATACCTTACCTTGCATGCGAGATCGTCTGATGGCCTCACATACACAGCCTTGGACTTAAAGATTTTGTGCARCATAAGGCCACTAAGTTCTTGACCGCTGTGCAGCTTTGGAGCAACCAGCTTGTTCCCACAAGCCATCAGCAGCTCAGTACTGTAACAATAAGGAAAATAGGAGTTGAAATTATGAAAATGGGTTTGCTAAAATTCATCAATGGAATCGCTTATGATGTGCATTATGTTGAAATTCCAGTTACAGTACCTTGAATCCATAGGGATTTTGTCTTGAAATGCTTGCTCCATCTCATTTATGATGGTCTGGCTGTCCCATGATTTATGCATTTCGAATGCATTTAGTATCAATCCTACTTCATGTAATTTTCTTCTCGTTTTGTGCTAACACACCTTGTCCCAAGATGAACTTGGAAGCAAAATAACATCCTTCAGGAAGGTAGGGTGGTTTGGGGCAGAAGGTCTAAAAAAAGAAAACATTACAATTAGCCATTAACAAACAAATCAACTTACAATGCTGTTAATTATTGATTCTATTAACTATTAAAACAATGAAGCCTTCCAGGTTCAGTAAGAAAGTCATGTTCAGTAAAATAACTGATAGAGCACAAAAACATGCAATTTTCTATATTGTCCAGCTTATCTATTTGTCATCTTTTTCTGTGTACTGTTCCAGTAATCCAAAAGCCAAAGTAGCATCCTCGACATGACTTCACTATTTATGGAAGCATATTGGTAGACTTAAACAAATAGAAATATGTTCTGCAATCACCAACTCAATCTGAAATGAAATTTTGCATACTGTATAAATGAATGAAAATGTATAAATAATAGAGATGCTTGCATCAGGATTCATCTTAATGGCAATCTTCTTTTCACCTAGTCAGATGCTTGCAACTAAGCAGCTAGCTACCCAGCCAATGCTAGAGCTAGCTCTTTCTCATTTAGCGCCTACCCTCTCCCTACCCAAAGATAGGCGAAATCCAATGAATGCAGAACTACACTGTAATAAGCTGCGCATTGAATAGCAAATTACAACCTTTGTTTACATAGAATAACAAAAGCCTAGCAGCACTGGGTACTACCAATATGCTTCCATAATTGCTGCTGCTAGCAGCTAGCTGTTAGCTTTTTCTCCCAGTGAAAGTCAAATGTATCATACACTGTGGTTATTCGAAGGGCTTTAYTCTACTGATACCATGTCGTCTCTCTCATGTAAAACAGCAGATTTAATTCTGAAATATCTCACACAGCTAGCGCTAACTCCAACTTACTAGGGGTGTAACGATTCGTTTTAACAACGATTCGATTCGATCACGATTCGTGGTTGCCAATACGATTCAAGGACGATATTGGTTCATCTAGAACGATACAATTCGAAACAATTCAGTGACTTGAAATCGATTCAGTAACTTTTTTAGCCAAAAATTCAACCAGTGTGACTGAAATAAATACCTGGCTACTGGACAGTGCAGGTGAAGTTTCCTAGATWCCTGTTGTTTCTTGTAAGGGAACCAGATATAAATCATGGATATAAACATTTTATATCCATGATTTCTATATTTAGTCTCTGACTCAACATGCTGGCGAGGCCTGAGGCTTCTGCAGAGCTGACTTCACCTTGCGCTGCTGCTGCAGCGGGAAYGCTACAAGAGGTGCCTGGACCGGCGGTGTTGTGTGATGAAATCCTGCTTGACGTGTTGCTGTGGTACTTTACTTGACCTTTACATATCCTACAAACAGCGAGCGATTTATTTAGAACATCTCCGTCTTTGCAAAAGCCAAAGTGTTTCCACACACTGGACCGCAATGGTGGCTTGATCATTTCTCRCTCGCCGGCTTCTCCTCTGCCATCCGCCGTCATGCTATGTTTTGATATTTGCGCTGCTGCCGGCGCGTGGCGATGACGTCACAGACAGGCAGACTGAGTCGAGTAACGTTGAACTCCTTTATCATTCAAAGTGCTACAAAACACATCCATATAAAGTCTGACGTGCTTTAATCCAATGCGTTATTTCCTAGTATCGATACAATCGATTGATTACCTTTTAAAACGATGTTAGATCGATATACTGTATGTCGTCCAGAAGGTCAACTTGCCGAGCACAGATCGATGTAGTTGCATCGTAGGAATATAAATCGATGTAGTTGATGAATCGTTACACCCCTACAACTTACTCAAACTAAGTGCTTGATCATATAGCTAGCACTAGTGCTACATTTTGCTGAGTTTTCTAGCCTGTGTAATATGTGGGTGGCCACTAGCATTAGGCTACTATTGGTGCTAACGTCACGACCATGCTAACATGAATTTGCGTGGACACTGCAGATAGGATGCCCTTGGCAATTTTTTTTATATATAAACTTACCTCCTCCTGGTGGATCTCGCCGACCAACCGGCGAAATTCTGCCTCGTTTGGTAACGGGGTCCTGTAGAACTTGAAGCACTAGCACTAGCACTAGCCTGACTAGAGCCTGGATTTGCAGTTCTTCCACCCCTGAATAATGTCTGCATCTCACTCGCAATGCTCTGTTGGACTTGATTCGATTGATGAATTCCTAAAATATTGTTCAGCAGTCCCAATGCTTCGGTTAACTTCTCTCTGTCCATTATAGATTTGTGCTACCACAGACAGCTGAGCTTTGGAGCGCCAAGAACCACTTCTTCTGTCAGCCAATCAGGAACTGAGGGAATCAAACTCACTTCCATTTCATTCAAACTCTCTCACATACACTATTATACTCTCTCACATACACTGCTATACTCACTATTATACTCTCTCACATACACTACTATACTCACTATTATACTCTCTCACATACACT